TGCAAGCATTGGATTAATATATTGCATTAAGCCATGATTTGAAACAGTTACACATCAGGCCCTGTAACACAAGGGTTGGTTTGACAAATAGTGACTGCTATTATACAACTTACTAACCCAAACTAAACCACATTATAGCTTAATGTGATGTGATGTAGAACCTTTCTTGCCTCCACTTTTTCTGTCAAACCTTGTTGGTCCAGACATCTGTTTCAAGTATCCATCATTTCCAATTGATTTACTTCTGTTTAAAAAACAGATCCTATTTTCTAGGTTGGAAGAGGCTCAAAATGGTACCACACAGATACATTTTTAGAACATTCTAATATTTAAACTCACTAATAGTTAATTTTTAAAACAATTATACGAATAGGCTGTATAAATCAGGCAGATGTTACAACTGCCAAAATACAAAAATTTAGATGGCATCAAAACTCTCAGCGTGAAACAAGCAGATCTCTGGGACATAAAGAATCTGGTGCTACAGGGATGGCCCTCCTATTAATCTCTTATGACGTACTCCTCTGGAAAAGCTTTGAGAGAGGTGGGGGACAATAGCATCCTATGAGATGGCAATTCTGAGCTGTTGTGATTTCAAGAGGGATTATAGCTTAAGAGGACAGAGAGATGACTGTCAATATCTGTAGGTGTGCTGAGAAAATCTTTGGGCTCCTCAGAGCATTAGAAAATCTACAAGGTCCACTACTGGGGTGCGTAACAGCTTCACTTTGCCAAATATTAAACTTTCCCTATTGATACACAGCAGCCAAACTGATGAACAACTTTTTGGGCTGCCACATGTGGAAGTAAGTCGGAAACCAAACACTTGTGTAGATAGTCACTTGTGGTAGCCTGCAGGCACACCCAGGCATGCACATTTACAATGCTGCTCCCTCTTCCAGTAATCCCAATGCAGGAGAAGGTACAGCCCCCATCCCCACGTGACTTACCAACATTGTATTTGCTGCCCTTTCTCTGGAAGGCCATGTTTTGGCAAGACCAAGTAACCACAGAACCCTCTCAGTTCAAAAGCCAGTCGGTATCACAGAGTGACCAGATCTGAAGGCAGAGTAGACTTACATATAGTATACCATGTCTTGTTCAATAAACCACAATTGGCTGGGTTCCTACATAATACTAAGCTGTATAATCCTGGTAAAAGGTGCATTTGGTTTAAGGCAGGGGCTCCTAAACCTTTTGCCATCACACCTCCCTTTAGTGTAATCTTAATGTACGCGACTCCCCTAAAAATCCAAACCTCCAAATGAACAATGAAAATACAATGAAACTTTGGGAAAGGTGGATTTATTGTAACAATGTAACTAAGAGGTTCTTCACACCTCTCCTGGACTCTGTCTGCACCTCCTCAAGGGGGGTACCTCAGAGTTTGGGAAACCCTGGGTTTAAGGTGTTCCTGACAGGTTCTACGTGATCCAAATCACATTTTGTCCTTTGATACTGCGCAGACCTTGTGTTTTCACAGGTACCTACCCACAAACTGCCAACTATAATTTAGCTTAGTGTGTGGTGTAGTTAGTCTAAGGAACATTGTGTCATACATACCCAAAATCTGGGTCAAGAAAATCCCGATTCAGTTAATTATAGTCAGTCTGTTAGGCAAATATATCCAGATTTTTCTGGGAAAATCCTACAGAATTAATTTTATCTTTTTGTTCATTCAAGGTAGGAGTCAGCAACATGAGCCTTCAGGGCTATATGGAGGCCTAGAACTCCTTTCTTGTAGCCCACAAGCCACTATTGACCACAGTTGCCAAAAATTGGTGTTTTTGAGGTGGGAAAAAGACAAAAAAATGCTATATACCCTGCAGTAGGCTTAAACATCTATAAAGCAAAGAAACATCCACTAAACTCTTGGTTCTATCTATTGTATACCTTATTTACAACATATTAAATGCAACTCTTGGCCATCAAAATATTGCCTACTTGCTTAAGAGATCCACAAGACTTACTGAAGGAGCATGCAGGTGATTCCAATGCCCCAATTTTTATGAAAGAACACTTGATTCTCTTCTCAGATAAGGAAGTCCCTACTTCACTCAGCTGCATGTAGTTATTCAGGCTTGAAGATAGAAAGATGATGGTTGAGGTTGATCTTCTTCTAGAACAGCAATTTTCAATTTCTCTCTACTCTGAAAGGGGTTTTAGCTCAGTAACAGAACAAGAAGGAGAGTAGATTTGGGTTTTTGTTAATTTACTCAGTACTATTAGAAGCCATGGATGGGGAATTCTCATTGGAAAGCTACCTAGATGAGTGTGCAAGCCAGGTAAAGTCAAAGATGTTGGTTTAGCTTAGTGTAACAGTGGCTCTGAGCTATCTGTTTTTTTGTGTTTGTGTTCATGTGAACTGTGAACTTGCTGATTACATTTTAATGTATTTTGTTGTGCTACTCCAAGTTGTATTACTAGTGTATTGTTTAGTATATTTTGTGAAGCCCTCAAAATCACAACTGAAGTAACAAAGTTATATTAACCCTGTATAAGTGTGGTATGAACCTAAACTTTCTCTAATATAGACAGTCATTGTTGGCAAATAATTGCATATTTTTCTATGACTAGGAAATCCCAGAGTATGTTACACCAAGAAGCTAAGTAGAGTTGGACCTGGTTAAGATAAGAGACAATTGTGGAATATTAGGGCTGTAGGCTGGACTGGGAAGCTGAAAAACCAGTCTGGAAGGTGACATTAATAAACTGTTTTGGTATTATTGGCAAGATAACTGCAAGGATATATCCTTGAAGTAATCAAGAGTTCAGCTTGGCTGAAAGAAATCTATCTTTTGACTGGTAATGCTTGTTTGTCTCTTGCTGTGAAACTCACTGAAGGTATAAATATTCTCCTTGAATAAGCTTAGCAAGTATCTTATTTATGTGATATTCTCGGACTATTATATTGATAAGCAGTCTGTGAGAAGGACAATGTGCTTGTTGTTTTATCTTATTTATTCGATTAGATTCTGATTGTATTATTTATATAATAATATACTTACGTTCTGATGTTAAGTAAGATAATTCTGCATGTTTCCAAATGACAGACTGCACACTGAGGGATGGTGGATTCTCTATTAAATTAACATCCAGATAGAAGATTTAAATTGGGGATTTGCTGAGTCATTAACACTTCCCATTGTTCCACTTGGCACCACAGTTATCTGAGACAGGTCATGAGTTATTGCCAAACAAAAAAAGATGGTAGCTGATCTCAAACCACTAAGGGAATTTTCTAGCTGACCCCTTTCCTGAACAATAGATTTTGAGGAAATGTTCTTCCTCAAAAGTAAACAACCTTTGTTTAATTAGAGTCAGTTGTTAAATTTACACAGCACGCTAGGGTATGAATTGCTTCACCCAGGACTGTCAACTCAGAATTGATTTGGAGCACATAATTTAGTGAACCACAAATCATAGTTTCCATATCACAATGTAGGAGGAGAGTGGTGTTTATGGTGGTGAGAAATCAGAAGAAGCCTGGTAGTGATTTTTCTAAGACATTTTATTAAAAGGTGTGAGCTTTCATGAGCTTTCACTTCATCAGATGCAGAGAATGGCTAGTTCTATCATTACTTCATCAGATGTATAACCACACTCTACAACTGATAAAGTAAGCAGCAACTCGCAAAACCTCATGCCTTTTAAGAAGTGTTAGTCAGAAAAAGTGCTACCAGAATTCTGATTTTTTTTTTTAATCACAACATATGGATGTCAAACACACTTAGTAAGGATAAACAAATTTCTCTGGAATGATACTCTAAGAATAACACTGATAGCTTCTGAGTTCACGGAGAAAATAATTAGCTTGATTTGCTCAGCCCATTTGCTTAGAAGTAAGGATCAGTGAGTTTAATGGAATTTGCTTCCTAATAAATAGAATTATAACTAATAGTGTAGAGAGATTATTCAAGGAAGAAAAACAGAATTTTAAGAGATACTTTTAAGTCAGCAGAGTCCAGGAGCATCCTGGTTCAAGCCATTTTAAAAATAATGCCTTTTCCATCCTGAGAAGGCATAGAACTTTATAAGTCTTATCCATAAAAATTGAAAATAATTTGTTATTGTGCATATAGGTAAAATTTATCCACATATCCAATTCCTGAGGTTGTCCACTGAGCTTCTGCCTGTGGTTTGCGAGCCTTGTTTTATGAGTTTTACTACTGCACATTTTTAAAAAAAAAACAGGTTCTTTAATTTGCCTCCTGTTCTAGTGCAACAATTGAAGCCAAGTCATTATATAACACTGTAGAGGAGTGGTTGATACCATGCAATAAATATGGTCCCACAAGCCAATTGTGGAGTTACTAAGAGGCTGGAATTCTGTAGGTCTGGAGGACTTTGATTTTATGGTTCCCAAAGTATTACACAAAGTGTCTGAAATGTTTTCTGCTCCTCTACCTTTGAAGGATGATCTTCCATCAAGTAGCCCTCAGATGTACTCTCCCATGAGTCCCTTTGGATCAGACATGCCTATTCCGGGCACACTGTTTAGTCCTCAGCCTGACCAAAACAAAGATTTCTCTTCGGTAGATCTCAGCTTCCTACCAGATGATTTTGGACAAGATACCAAAGATGGTAACAACAACAACAACATGCTGGAAGAATATCAAGGCCCCCAGCTAGGAATACAAGGCAGTGGAATCTTCTTGGATGACAGCGGGGTGTCCCAACAGAGGGATGAAAATGCAATTCAGCCACTATCTGATTTATCTGGGACGTGTCCCTCCATGACCCCAATGACTCCCATGACTCCTATGACCCCTACTTCAGAAGCTTCTGGCATTGTCCCCCAGTTACAGTAAGTTGACTCAAAAGCTGGTTGATGGGCATTTGCCACATTTTAGCAAAGCATGTTGTGAAAACCCAATTAGTGGGAGTAGTTAATGACTCAGTGAGATATTCAAACCCAGAAAATTGAATAATTGAGTAAGCTATAGTTAAGCATACAATATGAAGAAAAAGGCCAAGATGCAATTGTAAGTTTCCTATGCAACAGTACAGAAGTGACTTGCCATTACCTTTTTTCAGGATGATTTCTGACTTCCCAGTCTAGCTTATGGCTCTGATATTCCCTGGTGGCCTCCTGTCCAAATACAAATATACCCTCTATATTTAAATGCAATACACTTTATATCATATTACTAGAATCAAACCTACAAAGCTTGAGAGTTATATTTTTTCAGCAAGTAATCAAGGCTAAACTACAAGTGATAGGAAAATCCCTACATAAAGGAGGGTTACAGCCATATTAATAATTGAATGAGTAGATGGGGGTCGAGTTTAAAACCTAATGTAAATCATAGGACTGCTTTTCCACTCATCCCACTCCCATGTGTTTGCATTTCATTTCCAGTAAGAATCACGTCTAAATTGTACTCACATATCATGCCTAAGCAATATATTATTCTACTGTATAGAATAAGCCACTCTTGGCTAGTTTCAAATGACATCTAAGCTAAGTTAAGCCACATTATGGCTTAGAGTAATGTGTGAAACCAGCCTTGCAGATACATGCTTAGAAAACTTTTCTGTTTTTTTGCCTAGCTGACTTTCAACTGAAAGTAGTAGAATATGGCCTGCTATCTATCAGCTCAGTGGCAGCATCTGATCAACCGTGTGCTTTAAACTAGGCTGGGAAGTGGAAAAAAACATTATGGAAGACAACATGCTCTCAAAGAGCCAGGTTTGACCAAAAGGAAGGAAATGTTAACAACAGAATCCACAAGACCCCTTCCAAAGGTAGCAAGTTGTCAGGTGGTATCTATGCCACAGGTGTGCCACTATTATGAGGGCTCAATCGGGCATTTTATTGGCTGGGTGAGCATATTTTGGTGGCCTGCCAACAGGCGCTTAGCATATGATGGATCTTTGTACCATGCTCTGAGAGTTAAAGAAGTTGTAAAATGTTGTTAGCAATCAAAGAAGTGAACTTCTGAGCCATCTCATAGCAGGCAGGAACATGGCCTCTCCCTCTTATTAAGGTAGCAAAATGGGCCAGAAGCTATGGCAAATAAATTTGCAAACATGAAGAGATGGAGTTCAGCAATATATCCAGTAATGAGTACAGAAGGGGGTGATACTGTTGAGTTCTTGGTGCAATCTGAACTTGGTTGTTTGCTTGCAAATGTTCCATTACCCAACTAGGTAATGTTGGTTGCTGGAGGGAGTGTGTTCTAGTCATCTTGTTTCCTTAGGGGAAAACATCCCCCTCCATCAGCCAACACTCAAATAAGCAGGGATTAATACCAGACAAACAATCAAGCAGAAAACAATGAAGGTATCACCAAGGAGGAAACCATACTCCCACCAAAACTGGCAGGACAAGCCACAATATATAAACAGGCAGCAAACCCCACACTGACCAGCTCATAGGCATGGCAGAAGTATAGAGTGGTGAGACTGCACTGAGACGTGGGAATCTTCCTCCTGTTGCACTGTGCAGCCCTTCCCTATGCCTGCCACCAGTTATGTAAGATAATCTTAAATGCAGGCTTAACTTTTCTCTAAAATGTCTTGCTTAACACCCGATAGGCTGGAAGCCATGTACTGTGAAGCAGGAATCTACCTTCTGTTGCACTATGCAGTCCCTCTATGCACCCATCAGAGCTCAGGCTGATTTGTCTTTCAAAGCCAGGCTCTAAACCAGATCAGCTTAGAGACCTGGCAAATATACCTTGACTGGTACAAGATGGAATAGGATGAAGAACAGTACATTCAGGATTACAAAAAGAAGGAAGTTTCTTCATGTGAGTGTATTGGCATACAGATAGCCATCATGAGATGAAAAATCACCCCATCAGAACTACATGTACTAATGTGTTCATTGCCTGTTTTACTATGGCTTAGGCAAGATTGGAATTATACAGGGTCCTGTGAAAAGGAAAAGGGGGCCTTCAATCATGCATGGTGGACCTGAGCAAAAGCAAAGAAATTTTGGGTGCAATTCCATACAATGATGCAAAAGATATTACAGATTAACATTACGATGACACCAGAATTGTTTCTATTGGGTTTTATGGATATTGAACTAGAAAAGAAACATGGAAATTAATACTCTATATGGTAACTGAGACATGATTATTATATGCACAAAGTTGGAAGAATAATGAAATATCCACAGTGGAAGATTGGATTACAAAATTGACAGAGCTTGCGGAAATGGCTAAGCTGACCAGTTTGGTCAGGGAAAAAATGATAAAAACTTTTTGGAAAGACTGGAAACCTTATATGGACTTTTTGTTGAAAGAAGAAATGACTGATCATTTATGGATTTGGGGACTAAAAAGGGTTGAAGGGGAAGGGAATTACAAAGTAAGAGGGGAAAAAAAGAGGGAGGGGAAAGAGTAAGATGGTAACTACTGGATAGAATTATGACTTCTGCCCTTTCTATCTTTTTCTTATCTTTGATTCTTTTTACTGTATTTAAAAATTCTAATTAAAAATATTTTTAAAAAGTGAATTACGCAGGGTCCTGGAGGACTCGACTGAGAGATGCTTGTATCGCTTGTATCATGATACTGACTCGGTCATCTTTATCAGCAGGGAAGGAGTGTGGACACCTTCACTGGACGATTATCTAGGCCAACTGATAAGCAAGATTCCCCTCTCTCCACACCACAATTACCAAGAGTGTATCAGAACGTTTAAAAACATAGCTAAACTTTCTCAAATGGAGAAACAGCTTCAAAGATGAAGAGTGTGACACTGAACCATGCTATGAAAAAATTAATTTTAAGAGGCTGAAAGATGTGGTAGAACAGCCCAGGATTGTTAGGATTAAGAGACAGTAGGCACAAGAAACATGGGTACTTTGAAAAATTCAAAAGGTAGTTTACTATTAAAAAAAAAAAAAAAAAAAACTTTTGTTTTATGTATGTCCGTTGCCTTGTATTATAAGAATTGGCCATCCAATTTTGGAAAACTGTTTTTATCCAAATGTTGGACATGGTGATGCTGGGTTATTTCAAATGCCTCAAAATATTGTAGGGTTCTACAGTTGTTGGCAATTTGTGTATACAAAGCTGCTTAATAAATTTCCATATCTTAACTTATAGAACGTCCCCTGTTGTCTTTTTTTGAAGATGATTGGTTTCCATCAGACTCAGAGAATTTAGGAGCAATAGATAATTTGATGGCTTCAGCCTGTGACAATAAATAGAAAAAACTTTTACCCAGTGTGTGCATCACAGAAATCTGAATATTCTCATTCTTCAGAATGGGTTTTCCCAAAGCAAGAAATAAGAACAATTGTTATCAACTGCAAGTACATAGTTTTGTTCTGATGCCTCTGTAAGTAGATGCAGATTGTCATATTGGTTTAATGGATGTGCCCTACTAACAATACATTTTAGAGGTTTTCCAATTTGGCAGCCCCGCCCCCCCACCCCCATTCCAGAGTCTATAGATTAAGAACTGGGCTCTATCCCCCAGATTGGTATGTTGTACACTCTAAGAAAGATGAATAAAATCGGCCATCTAGCACTCGGTCCACCAAGATTTTAAAGAGAAGCTGGGGGGGGGGGAATATTACAGGTTCTCATAAAGGTCAAATACAGAGGAAAGTCATCTTACACAGTGCTAAGAATGACCTGGTAAGAGCAATAGCAGAAATAGCCCTAACACATCAAAAGGAAGTCTTCCTCCCAAAACTTCATAATTTCATAAGAGAAAAGCCAAGTGTTGTTAAATAGTTGAGTAATAGAAAGGACTCAAAAAGAAGGAGCCAATCATCAAGCAGTCAGAAGGCTTTATTGGATCCTTATTAGGTTCTGTGGTTCCACTGCTGACCAAATATGGACTGTAATGAGAAAATGTATCTTATGCCATGTTATCAGATATAATAATTATACTAATATAAAGTGGAACCTCTACCAGAATTACAGGTGTTAACCATTTGGATATTGAGATGTGTTCCATTCTTCAAAGAGCAGATTTGTCTGAAGATGGCAAGATTCTACAATTCTGTGCTGCCAAAGTTCCTATAATTCACCAGACAGTATGAGACTCAAAAAACCAAACTGAATTGCTTTTGCCACTCAAAGGATCCACAGCCTCCTCAACCAGCCCACTATCACCCCCATTGACGCAGGACATGGCAATCAAGAGGTCCTAAGTGGCACAGACATTTGTTATGGGAAAAACCTTGAAGCAACAACAGAGGATTTGAACTGGTGATGACTGCGATACGAGAGTGTGCCTATAACTAGCACCCTTTTATTCTGGACTCAATGAAAGGGGCAGCACAAAACGATGAGCCAACAGTGTATTGCAGCTGCCCAAAAAACCAACATACCTTGGGATGCATCCACAGAGGTATAATGTTGAGATCAAGGGAAGTGACAGTTCTTTCCTACACTGCATTGGTCAGACCTCATCTGGAATACTGTATCCAGTTTTGGTTGCCACAATACAGGAAGGATGCTGAGGAACTGGAAAATGTTCAGAGAAGAACAGTAAAGATGATGAGGGGTTCAGAGATGAAATCCTATGAAGAATGGTTAAAAGAACTGGGTAAATTTAGCCTAAAGCAGAGAAGTCTAAGAGGAAACATGACAGCAGTCTTCCAATACTTGAAGGGCTGTTACAGAGAAGAGGGTATCAATTTATTCTACATGGTGTCCAAGGGTAGAATAAGAACCAATAGATGGAAGCTTTAAAGAGATCCAAATCTGAAATAAGGAGGAATTTTCTCACTCTGAGAGCTATTCAGCAATGGAACAGCCTGACCCCTGGAGTTATGGGGGGTCCATCACTGGAGGTTTTCAAAGGCTGGACAACAATTTGTCTGGGGTGATCTGAAGATTCCTGTCCTGGGCAGGAAGTTGGACTAGAAGACCTTCAAGGTTCTTTCCAAGCCAATTATTCTATGAAAATTGCACACTTGCTAAGAAGGAAAAAAATCTAAAAGTTGGGGTGAATTTATGAGTACTGTGAATGGTTGAAATGAATGTTCCAACAACTATGGTGGGTTGGGATCTGTTAAAGACTAACTGGAAAAATGAAAAGTATCTATGGCACTCTGACCCATTTAATGACACTCATTCAGACACCAGACATCAAATTCCAGAAGTTTGTTGTGGTTTGATGAATGGTTCAGTTTATAAAAAGAAATTTTAAAAATGCAGTGAAAAAAGGCCAAACCCTTGTCTTTATTTTGCAGTATGACATGCAACCCTGCATACATCCATTTTATGTATATATATATGTATATATATGTGTGTGTGTGTGTGTGTGTGTGTGTGTGTGTATATATATATATTTTTTTAATTTTATTTATTTAATTGTGTTAGCTGCCCAACTCCAGTGGGGATGCATATCCCTATGTGTCACTTACAATTTTTACAAACTGTCTTACCATTTGGTCATGTGTAATATTAACCTCAGGATTACAATTTTAAATCTGCATACAACTTTAAATCTGCTTGTAGGAAAATACAAAATAGGAAAATGGTAAGAATATAGAAAAATCACACAGTTCTGGCCACAGATCACTGCAACAGAGGTGTGGCAACTGTTGCTGGTGAGATGTGTATTCTCATATCTACTGTTCTAAAAACTTCACTGGGGCTTTAGAAACGTAGTACTGTCCAGGAACCTTCTGTGAGATCCAAAGATTTTCCATGTTCAACATGGAGGGAAGTAGAGTATTCACCAGGCATAGTTTGAGGGTGGATGTTTACAATTAAACCAAAAATTCTTTTAGAGATTTCTTCTTGGGTGACAGACCCTTACAAATTTGCTATTGCCAGAGAAAAAGTGGAGATGCAGTATTTTTCCCATATAATCAAAAAGAACATTCTTCATGCAACTGATTTTAATACAATTTTCAAAAATTGTATAGAGAAGCATGTTGGCTATCAGGGGTGAGATGTACATACCTAATTTTGGCTCTGAGATTGCCTTCCTGATCAGTGAGTATTGCTTTGTATTCATTAAGTTCTGCTCAATGAATTTCCATATATTCGAAAAGGACTACAGGTAGTCCCTGGGTTAAGAACATCCAGTTTATGGACAACCCATAATTAAGAACGGAGTCTACTGTAGCAAAATTCAAGTTAAATACACAATGGTTCAAGTTAATACTACTTATACAGTATTATACAATAATACTGTTCTGGCTTACATACAAATTCGACTTATGGACAGACCTTGGGAACAGAACTTGTTCTTAAACTGGGGATTACCTGTATCTGCAAACCTATGCATGGATAAACGTGGCATTGAATTTCCCTGGGTGCATAAGGCCATTTCCTTAACATAAAAGGGTTTGTAAAATCTTTTTAAAATCTTTGATATTTAAGGTTGCCATCTTTAAAACTATTTCATTTTCAGAAAAAAGCACACAGGACTACTGTATTTAAAAGTTCTCTTTTTCTTTCATCTCTCTCCTTGAAAATATGCCCTCTGCTTTTGCACAGATGTGCCCAGACATATATAGCCAGGTCCTTTTGCCATGGGACAAGCATAAAGAACAATTAAATCACACATAATATGCTCTGTATTTTCTTGGAATAATGAGGTTGGACATGTCCAGACATGTAACCAGCACACCATTACTGTATAACAAACAGTTATCCTGCAGAATATGTTCTGTGCTGTCTGGATTCTTACTCTACCACCACCACCCAGTCTGTTCTTGCTATTTGCATAAGCTAACCACACTGCATCAGTGTTTGCTTATAAGGTCAGCAATTAAATCTTGCAAAACAGAGATCTTTACTTTTCAAAAGGTACAATGAACTTTAAAAAGTTCTCTTTTTTCCCTGTACCTATCTAACTAAATAATAAATAAATTAAATTAAATTAACTAAATAAGTTTGCTATTGTTACTGTTGTTAAATAGACCTGAGATTTTCTCCTGTTAAATTTTCACAAGAGGTCTTTTATGCAATAGATCTATTTTTTCCCAGTTAAAATCTATGTCTTTTTAAAAATATGTGGGGGGTTTTGGTAAAAGGTAAAAAGGCATATTTTAGCTATAAAGGTTTTTTTTTTCTACACTCACTAGCAAAAAGTGCTTTTTATAAAATCTTCACTAGGGCTTTATTTACTTCAGAAATACTCAAAATAGGGGTTGCTTTCTATATTCATTTAAAGAATATCTTCTAATACTACTACAAGAAATATAGGTTATCAAAAGGCAGTTCAGTAGAGTTAAATTTGGGGTTACAGTTACCAACAATAATTCCATTGGGGATCAGACACTGTTAATCATAACTTTAGGATTAGCAAACAGACTTCTTGAAAAGATTGGCTTCATCATTTCGGTTAATGGTCATGACATGGTGACATCAGCAGCATATGAAGTTTTTACTTGGATAACATTTTAGCAAAACTACTAGTTAGAGCCTCATATTGCAAGGTACATGCTATAGATACTAAAATATCTTCAGGGTCTTGCCTCATTGCTATCTACTGATATTTGAGTTGGCAGAAAAACATACTAGCAAGAAATTTGCTCTCCCTGTTTCTGGTCCCGTTTTGTCTCAATTGCAGGTCACTAGTCACTGATGTCCCTCAAGGTAATGGTAATGGGTGATATATCTGAAGAGATTTTAGGCTGTTTAGAATGAAGATAAGGTAGAAAATCCTACTTCAACATCTGTACAGCTAAGGATGATTAAAGCCTTAAGGGCTGGAGATAAGCTGAAGACATTGTCCTTAGTAGATGGCAGAAAAAATGATGTTTCCAGAGCATGTTTGTGCCATGTTTAGGCATAAGTAGGGAAAGGCTCTAAGAACCCAATAGCCCTAAATCATCAGAGTGTTAATAATCTCTAGTCAACACTGTATAAATACCACTGTACCCAAATAATGCAATGTACTACTTGTGTTTTATAACAATATAATAAAATAATATTTTTTTAAAAGAATCCAATAGCCTGCAGTGACTCCTGGAACAAAGGTCAGCATGAAAAAGAAGCTGTTTTTTACTTACATTGTTTCCTAAAGGCTTTTTTCCCCCTCTTGTTCTCCCAGGAACATAGTGGCCACTGTAAATTTGGCTTGCAAATTGGACCTAAAGAATATAGCCCTTCATGCCAGAAATGCAGAATATAATCCCAAGGTAAGCGCTAGTTTAATCTCTCTCTCTCTCTCTCCTCTAAGGAAATTTTTTCCACCTCACAGGCTGCTTCTCTTCAAGATCTGACTTCTATAAAGATACTCCGGGCTGTTGTTTGGCCCAAATTGACTCTCTTTAAGTTTGCCTTTTCTGAACTGGTTTCATAGTAATACCCTGGCCAGTAAAGGTTTACTGTAGAATTGCCATGCTTTGTTTGCTCACTTTTTATGCGTATTCACACTGTGCTATTCTTCTGTTATAGAAGGCTGCATGTTGAATGTAGGCCATACACCTGACAATCCCAGAACATCATCGCCAAGCCTGGGCTGGCATACCTCACTGAGCAAAAAAGATATGTTTCCCCAAAACAGTATTTCTGAAAGTCTGGAAAGTCAACTCCAATTCCACTTATATTTTATAACCAAAGAGCAACTGTTATGCTAGTCTATATTACCCTGCTCCCTCTGCTATCTGACATGTTCTTCATGGTTATGCATTTAATTTCCTAATTTTGTATTGAGAACAATAATGTTAGATTTTTGTCTAAATAGAATATCAGACAAAACAGAGAAAGAAATCATTCCTAATGTAGATTTTTGGCTAGGCTTGATACCTATTTAGAACTAGACTTTTCTTGAAAACAGATAATCCCTTGGTCTCAATTAGCTGGACATTCTCCATAGGCCTGGTAAGTCCAAATATATCAGGCCATATAAATCATTTAAATAGATCAATAAGTAAGAGGCTACATTCACAACATTTTTTTATTGTGGACTTCATTGACAGTGTTGAATGTCTTGTACACAGTGTTATGCAAATGCTGTTACAGACAGTCCATCAAACCAATATTGTTTCATATCTCTATGTACTCAGCCTCACAAATACTGCCTCTCCCATATATGTATGTACAAAATGCATATTTACCCAGAGATATTTCAGGCACGCCACCTCCAGTCCCCTGTATACTATAAATGTTTCAATCTGTGTTATTTTAGCCTTCAAGGTGTGCCTTTCTTTTGCTGACCATTTTTCACATATACAAAATTATCATTAATTATCAAAATTATTGTCATTTAACTTCCCAAGAACTGTGACCAAAGAGAAATTGTCTGAGAAATAATGACTCTCTTGAAGTCATTCAATTAACTCCATGGCAAAGTGTCCCCTCATTCTCTTTACCTTGGTATCCACATGTAGGGAGGAAAACATAGCAGACCCTGGGTTTATCTTCTGTGCATTTGATTCTGTAATTAGTCATCAATTCTTGCTGCAAGTACATACCATAGATGTATGAATGGTCTTTGCATATAACCATCTCACCTCCTTATGTAAACCTCCCTGCTGTATCCCAGATATGCTGCACTGCAACACACGTGGAGATTATCAAATTGAGAAAAACGATTATAGCAGAAAAAACATGTCTGAAATTCCTGGATTTCTCCCTCACCATGGCTCTCCTTTAGAGATATATTGCAGGGATGTTCAGACAGTGTGGCTAATGGATTAGGTATTAAACTTGGGAAGTCCCCATTAAGCTCACTTGGTACCTTGACTAGTCACTTTCCCTCAGTCCAACCTACCTCAAAGGGTTGATGTGGGAATATAATTAAGGGAGTCTCCCATTTATGCCACCAAGAGCTCCAAATAAAAGATAGGATATTAATGCAATCCATCAATCAGCTTAAAGCAATAGAATTAGGTATGTGGAAAATGTCTGGAGAACTCCAGAACTGTTCCCTAGTGCATGCCAGTCTGGCATCCTGGGACTAGTCTGGAAGTGTTTTGGAAATTAATCTTCAAAGAATGGCTTAATGATGTGTGAGGATCTAATCAACAAGGTTCAGGTCCAGCTTCAGCCATAAAGCTCACATTAGTGTTGAGTAAGTCACATTGTGTCAGCCATCTACCCTGAGTGAAGACTGTTGGTCAAGAACGTACAAACGGGGTGAAAGTTTAAAGCATTTGGGGAGATAAGCAGCTGGCTGGATTGGTTTGAAGATCTATTGCTAGATGTTCATTCAATTGATCTTCATGAGCCTCACGGGGAGGGCTTCAACTGCTTGTTTCAGTGTTTGTATTCAGAGTACTGTATATTGCCTCTCAACCTCTTGGCTCCATTTAGATACGGTAGCTAAAACACCCTCCATAAATCAATTTAACTAGATAATCTGGGGAAAAACTCTTCATAACAGCCTACAATTTCCCTACATCCACTGTAAAAATTGATGTCATCCTTATTTGCAAGAGAATAACATATTTTTTTCTTGAAAAATAAATTCCATCTCAAAATGTTTATAAGCTATCTTTCACAAGGAGAGATCTATTTATATAAGGGTATAAATTTGCCCATGCTGGAAAAGTCACTTGCAGCCTATTGAAGCCATCTCAGAATAAGGATCGAATGGGGAGAAAAATGCTTATGAGTATCAATAAACAAACAAATAAATGGATAATATACTCACACAGTGACTAATATAGTTTAAAGGGGATTTTAAATCTGGATTTTTCTGAATTTTAGAGATTTGCTGCTGTGATTATGAGAATTAGAGAACCAAGAACAACAGCCCTTATATTTAGTTCTGGTAAAATGGTGTGCACAGGAGCAAAAAGGTAGGACTGCTGAATTTTACAAGATTCTTCTTCTAAGGGATAAGAATCCTCAGGGGCTGCTGGCATTTACATACTCAAAATCCATTTTCTTGGAAGGGGATTGTTGAAGACTGGTGGGGTTTCTGTGATAAAAGGCTAATGTGATTGATTCAGATCATTAACACTCCATCCAGTTCAGGTTGGGCATCAGACAACACTGTGCTACTCCCAAGGAGCAGCCAAAGTCTTTGAAATAGATTTTTTTTTCCCCAAAAGGGGATACATGCACATTTGCTAGATCAGGAATACTAATGCATTATTTTTATGTATGCATGCATGTATGTATGTATTTACTGCCACAAGACCAACTAATGCATTGTCAAATGTAGGGCCCTTGGGAATTCCACATTTTAAAAGAATGGGAATGTTCTTGTAACATTCCACCACACTGTTGCATACTACCAAAGTTAATTAATCTTTCCAAACCAGGTGTGTTGAACTACAGCTCCCATAGACCACCAGCTAGTATGGACAGTGACACGGCTGATTGAGTATGAAAGGACCTGTACAGGTAGTCCTCATTTAGCAACCACAATTGGTTCCGGCAAAATGGTTGCTAAGTGATACGGTTGCTAAGCAAACCATGTGACAAGAGAGAGAGAGAAAGAGATGCTGCAAAGATTGCTGGTTGCTTCCATCTTATTCAGATAAAGTTCTCTCATACAGCAATGTCAGCATTACTCTCACTCACTGTGTGTTGTTGTCAGGTGCAAAATTTGGGTGTAAGTGCATGCATTGGTTGGAAAATGATTTTTTACTACCATTTATTACAGTTTATTACCATCATACTTGCAAACGGTCGCTTAATGAGATAGTAGCTAAATGAGGACTACCTGTACTTCCCAGTGTTTTCCCCTGATGAGCACATTATGAGTTTTGAAGACCTGTTGAGCTCTCTCACAAAATGAATGTAGTGGTGATAGGAATGAGCCCTTTCACAACTGTTAAACTGGTACTTTCTAACTGATTTTGTGAAAGGACTAGCTCCCATTGCCCTCCAGCTGCCTAATCTCTTTGCCTTCACCTTTTTCTAAGCAGGTAGACAGTGGACACACTTTCAAACAAAGCACTGGGCTACTTTAGTCCACTATTTTTATTGCTGAAGAAAGGCATTTATTGGAAAGGAAGATGATGTAGACATCATTCTGCAGTGCATCAGCTTCTCATTTGTTAATTACAATCACAATTATAAGTATAAAGCCAAATGGGCAGGGAGCTTGGTAAGTGCCAAGGGAAGTCTCTCTGCCCGCACTGGCACTCCCAGTCACTTGATTTGGGACCTCAGTGAATTCCAACACATCCAGAGAGCACCAGGTTGCAGAAGGCTGGCATATACTGCAGTCTTCCATGAGCAGAAGATATACTTCCTCTGGAGAAGGTGTACCTTTGGTTGAACTTAAGTCAGATTTGTATGTAAGCCAGAACAGTATTATTGCATAATGCTGTATAAGTAATATTGTGTAATGATCTCAAACCATTGTGTATTTAACTCGAATCATTGTGTATTTAACTTGAATTTTGCTGCAATAGGCTCTGTTCTTAACTACAAGTCATCCTTAAACCGAGTGTTCTTAATTTGCTCTTGACTTAAAGCTTTGCTGGCTGGCTTTTTTTTGTTTGTCTGTTTGATGTAAATTTGCAGTGAAGAACAGTCACGACTAGCAGCCAGAAAGTATGCTCGTGTGGTACAGAAACTCGGGTTTCCTGCAAAATTCCTGGATTTCAAAATACAGAACATGGTGGGCAGTTGTGATGTGAGGTTTCCCATCCGCTTAGAAGGATTAGTTCTAACTCACCAACAGTTCAGCAGGTATGTGTCTCCCCATCTGCGTAAAAGGGGAAGAGGCACCAGGAAGAGTATGGCTTCCATCATTCCTGACCGTTCACTTGCTGGTTGAGGTTGGTGGGAATTGTAGTCCAACAGAGCTTGGGACCTAAGGTTGGGAAAGGCAGATGAATATCAAAGTAGTATTTCTACTGATTGTTTGGATACGTTGGCTCAATAGTCTTGGGAGGCTGAATTCTGGATCCCTGGGCCCTTTTTCTTCAGATCTAAATACTGGCATTTGAGTCTTTTGCTGTTCTGTGCTGCACATAATGAAAAAACTCATGGTGTTAACTGGCTGCCTTCTAAGAGAAAGCAGTTATAATTATCCATGTAAAACTGTTGCCCAGTTTCCCTCTTCATGATCAGTTTGGAAACTCACGACTGAGTTGTTTTTCAGGATCTGAAAGATCTCACTAGATTATCTGTGGGAGCAGTTCTTGTTTGCTGTGTCTTAGAAAAATCAGAACTTGGTACCTAAGAATCCTGGGTTGTCTTACCAATCTAAGCGCAAATGCTTGTGTTGGATGGTTCCGATGTGCTTTTCTGAAAGATTCTGTAATCCTCTTGTTACATTTTGCTTTTCTCTCCATCCCATTTGGGTTTGTTCCAAGAGAACCAGGTAAAACCAGATAGGATTTCACCAACTTGCATTAGTTATTTGGACACTTATTTTGATTTATATCCCTCTTTTCTGTTCAGTTTGAATGCTCATGGCAGCACATTGGATAGGTGTCCTCATTCTGGGCAGGGGGCACATCTGGAAATTGGGATGTGGGCTATGAGCATTCTAGAAAAAGGTTAGCCATGCCCCCATTTTGCAGTCACAAAAATCCATTACCAGAAGGCAACTAATGAGGGTGTTCCCAACCATCCCTCTACCTTTTCAAGACACTTTTAACAACTTCAGCTTACCTTTCTTTTTTTATTTAATGGGCAGGCAGACATATTGTTACTAGGGTTATGCAGTGCTTCGGCTTGTATTGAAAGAGGTGCTTCAGAACATTCAGATCGTGGCTTATTAAAGCAGCCAGGTCTTTTTCTAGGGTTGTGTCTACAATCCTGGCAACAGATGCAGTTGCTTTAATGAGTCACAGACAGGGGCTGCATTTGCATTCCTGTGCATTCTAAAGCATCTTGCCTTCCATTTTATTTTCTTAGATTGGAGGTCTATACAGGGCTCAGATGCATTATTTGAAATATAAATTATATCTGAGGCTGTTACTTTGCTTTATAATGTCCAGTTACCAGTTTTAAAATCAGATAGGGTAGGAAGTATGGGTGGCACCAAGGAATGTGAGCCAGCATGACCAGAGTAGGCTGTGGTACAGACTGCGAACCTACAGCTATCCCAGTGTGTAAGGCATTTGCCATTTGGAAAGATGTTCTGCAGGGAAAAATAGGACCTTTGGTATTCAAACAAAATCAAGCTAAGTATTCTCCTGTATTTTAAAAATGTATTTACATTTTATATGCCACATACTAGAGGGGCTCTGGGCCAATTTTTAGAATGTAAAAAAAGTGGCTGTCGGCTGGCAGTTTTTTTAATCATGTGTTTTTGAGAGTGAGATATCCAGTTAATTAAAAATGCAGCCCTCCTATTGTGATTATGCTACTGAGGTGTCTTACTTGATTGTAACTGTAAAAATTGAGATACAAAACATTTTTAAATGTAATTTTTGCTTATCAAAGAGCAGATTAAGGAATTAGAATACTATAGATAAAGGGGGTGGAGCAGAAGAAAGAGTTAAACAGAAGCTAATTGCAGGGAAATACAGACTGCATTTTTTAAGCACTGGAAATTCCAAAGCTATTTGGAATGAAGCAATCTCTGATAGCCAAGGAATTTTGTATATTTTAATTTTTTTCTGAAATGACTTTTTAAAATTGTAGTTATGAACCAGAGCTGTTTCCTGGGCTTATCTACAGAATGGTCAAACCAAGAATTGTATTGCTTATCTTTGTGTCTGGAAAAGTTGTGTTAACTGGTAAGTGATTAAGCTGTATAAAAACTACATGCTTCTGCATCACTGACACATTCACACACATTGCAAGGCATATCCATCTTGCTTACATCAATTGGAGCTGGATGGAGCTATTCTTCCAGATCAGTGTTTCTCAACCTTAGCAACTTTAAGATGTGCGCACTTCAAGTTGTTGTTGTTGTTGTTGCTATTATTAACCAGTTTGGTATAGTGCTTAGTGGAAACTGGGAGACCACAAGTTCCAGTCCCACCTTAGGCACAAAGCCAGCAGGGTGACCTTGGGCCAGTCACTGTCTCTCAGTCCTAGGAAGAAGACAATGGCAAACCAGTTCCAAAATCTTGCCAAGAAAACTGCAAGGACTAGTCCAGGCAGTCACCAGGAGTTAACACTGACCCGAAGGCATGCATGCATATATAAATAAATAAATATTACTAATTACATTTATAAGACACCAAATCCTACATTTGCAGATAAAATGCATATGAAAGAACATAAAATAAAGAAAAAGTATGTAAATAAATGTCTATCAGCTAATGAAAACATAGAATAAAATTAAATTAAGCAAACCAAGTCAAGATAGAATCAAAACCTATAGGTCCTTCCAAAGAACTCTGCCTCTGGAAAGCAGTCAGGGTAGCAGCTAACCAGGTGTCAACTGGGAAGCCATTCCAAAGAACTGGTGTAGCCCCTGAAAAGCAATATTGCTGAGCCTCAGCCCCTCACCTCCCTAATGCAGGGCACCACTAATTGTTTCCCCTGGGTAGTTGAACTGGCTAGGCTAATTCCAAAGGAAGAATGCAGTGCTGCAGAGAACAAGGCACCAAGTCATTTAGGGTTTTAATAGGTTAGCACCAGCACTTTAAATTACCCCTTTAAGATTGTCGGCAACCAGTACAGGTCCCACAGTATTGCTGCGATGTGCTCCCATTGACAAATGCAGCACACAAGCTGTTGTATTCTGAATCAACTGCAGCTTACAAGTGATCTTCAAAGGTAGCCCATGTAGAGCACATTCCAGTAGTCTAAGAAGGTGATGATGAGGGCATGAGTCATTGTAGGAAGATCTTCCCACTCCAATATGTTGGCAACTGGCACACCAGCCAAAGCTGGGAAAAGCCCATCCTGGCCACAGTATCCATCTGCTGTTCTAGCAGTAGCTGTGAATCCAGAACCCCTCAGTCACACTACCTCCTTCGGGGATAGTGGCATCTTATCAAGAGACACCACTACAGCAGACAGTAAATCCTGATGGAAAATAGTACGTTCATCTTACCAGGATTCAATTTAAGGCTATTCTCTCCCATCCAGACTCTCATCAGTCTAGCTTGGGGTAGCAATGTAAAGTTGGGTATTATCATTATCTTGATGATACCAAACTCCAAACCTTTGGATGATCTCTCCCATGGCTTCATATTGTTAAATAGCAGGGGGAGAGAACTGACCCTTGTGACACCCCATAGGAGAGTAGCCATTGGGCAGATCTCTCCTGCCCCCTCCAAGCTGGAACTGCCCACCAAGAATTGTTACACAGTGCACCCAATCCCCAACCTATGCAAGAGGTCTAGAAGGATACCATAGTTGGTTTCAGAGGCCACTGAGAGGTCTAAAAGGACTAGGATGGATGTACTTCCTACTTCATAATGAATTCATAATGAAATGTAATAGAAATATAAAGTTCTTCATGTAGGAAAAAGAAAGCAATAGGATGGTAAATAAAAAAGTTAGAGTATATGTGAAAAATGTTTTGTAATTGTAGTTGATCACAAACAGAATATGAGTCAGCAGTATGATATGTTTGTTGAACAGGGAAATATAATTTTAGGATGCATAAGTAGAAATATATTTTCCAGATCAAGGGAAGCAATATTTCTACTCTATTCTGCATTAGTCAATCTCCACTGAGTGCTTCATCAGTTCTGGACATTGCACTGGAACAGGTGCACAGAAGAGCAATGGGGATGGTTAGATGACTCTTAAGTCCTACAAGGAGAGACTGAGGAAACTCTATAAGTTTAGTTTGAAAAAAATACACCTGAAGATGGAAAGACAGTTCCCTACCATCTGAACACACATCAAAGAACAATTCAAAGTGTTGGCACAGGGCCTGATTATCTGAGGAACTGCCTATCTCCAATAGCGTCCACCCACCCAGTAAGATTGGGAAGATGGGTGCGCTCCAGGCCCCTTCAATTAAACAATGTCATCTATTGGGATGTAGGAAGTGTGACTTCTGTATTGTGGTGCCTGCCCCCTGGAATAGCATTCCCCCAAAGATCTGTACAGCTTCCATCCTGATGTTTTGAAATTCATTTAAAACCTGGCTTTGTTCCCAGGCCTGGGGGTAGGCTGCTGAGCCCCTCTCTAGTTTTTTTTTTTTTTTTTGAAGTGTTGTTTTGGGCATTGTGTTTATCCTTCTGGAAGTTTAGGATTTTTTATTATTTTTTGTTTTTGTCTTTTATTTTATAATGTAAGCCACCCAGAGTCATCTGGAATCAGGCAGCCTCTAAATTTAATAAAATAAATAAAATAATAATAAATAAACGAGTCATAGCCTTCTGCCTGTAGCCCCAGAATACAGGATACAGAAAAAGTGTTAAATTCAGAAAAGCAGTTTCCCACTGAATATTAGAAACAACTTTAGTTCAGTTAAAAGCATTTTCATGTATCTGAACATGCACACCTATATATTTTTATATAGAAATCCAAATGAATTCAATTATTCCCCAAGTTAGTGGAACAGAACTGCAAGTTAAGAACACCTTTTTGTAGCGGAATGAAGTTAAATGCAGTTAAAACTAATTCTAAAATTATTTTTTAGGTGCCAAAGACCGTTCTGAAATATATGAAGCATTTGAAAACATATATCCAATTCTGAAAGGTTTCAAGAAAGTCACTTAAGTTATTTTTGTTACAAATTGTAAAGAATAAAAAAGTTTGTATATATTCTAGCAGACATTCTTGTATTTCAAACCTATAAATAATAATAATTGATGGAACATAGCTTGCTGCCTTACAGTTTTGGCTCATTTAATGCTTATCAGATATTTGTGAATATAGCCCAGAACACATTTGAACATAACTATTCAAATACATAAAATTAATAAGGAAACAAAAAGTGATGTAAAATACTTTTAGGGTTTCATTAGCATACTGAGATTATTTAAATCGGAATTCAGTGTTGCGTGTTCTCCATTTAATTTATTTTGCATAAAATAAACTATAAAATATACTGTGGTCATTTATATAGTACTAAATAAATATATAGTTGCCTAAGCATATTGTTTTCTCTCACGGAGGCAATTTTGGAGTCCACAATACATTAAGTCATTATGTGATTTATTTGGCTTTGACTTCAACAAACCTTGATTAATGAGAGCATGGCTTAGCACAATGTGTAAATCAAGTCATTTAATTATGGTTAACACTAGCCATGTGATCTTGGTTGTAAGCTTATTGAGTTCTGCTTATTTTAACTTAATACCTTTAACATTTGAAGTTGGGCTAATTAATCTGAGCTTAAAAAAACAAACAAACCCGGACCACCATAAGATTGATATTAGAGAGACAAAGATAACTATAACCCGTTGCTGCCCGGGATATTTTTGCAAACCAGATTTGCTAGCCATATTGTAGTATGTGGACCTGAGAGGAAGGGAAGAAATAGGAGCGGAGTAGAGAATGAATTTAAGCGGCCATTTAAGTCCTGTATATATAAAATGCTTCTCTCGTGCCTTTAACACACACAAAAACTTCTACCAGAGGCAAAAATCTGCACGTTCCTTCGGCCTTTTTTTCCCCCCTCAAACACGCTCATTCGTGGTTTGAGAATTAGACCAACGTTCTGAATTTCCACCACGCACTGAACCAAAAACTAACCACGCAAGTTGAGCACGCCTAACACGTTGAAACTAAAATGAACTTGATTGGTCGGTGGTTTAATACGTCATGGGAACGCAGCTTCGTTTTTTTCAATCCTGCTTTCTCCCCATTGCTCTTGCTGCCGGCTGCACGTCTTTCGACCTTTCGGGATAACTTTAATCCTCCAACCGAGAAAAACCGCCGCTCCGATTCCCCCGCTATCAGGTCAGCCTCTGAGGTATTGCTTAGCTCCGCCCCCGATCTTCAGCACGTGCTCTTCTCCCCAGCCTTCTTTTTTTTCTTCCCATCATACCTCTGTTTGAAAACAAAGTCCCACGTGACCGCCGGCCTGCCGCGAGCCCGTCAGCAATATGGCGTCTTCCAGGGGTGACGGTTGGACCGG